TCTCCTTTTACATCTGCTTTGATCTTTTATTGCTTTCCTCTTTTTAATGACCTTTGCTTTCTTCATGAATGATGTTCTTGATGTAAGCCCACAGCTCATCTGGCCTTCTGTCAGTAGTGTTCAGTGCATCAACTCTGTTTTTGAGACGTTCTCAAAAGTCAGGTAAGATGGAACCAAGGCTGTATTTTGGCTCTTGTGGACTTGTTTTCATTTTCTTCAGTGTCAATCTGAACTTAAATATGAGCAATTTATAGTCTGTTCCACAGTCAGCTCCAGCTTCCTTCTTGCAGCTGATACTGAGCTTCTCTGTCATCTCTTCCCACAGATGTAGTCAATTTGATATCTGTGAATTCCATCTTGAGAAGTTCATATGCATGGGCATATTTTGTGTTGTTGAAAAACATGTTTACTATGAATAAGTTGTTGGTCTTGCGAAAATCTATCTTGTGATTGTAGCTTCACTTCTATCAACAAGACTGTCTTTTCCAACTATTGTTCCTGCCTCTTTGTTTCCAACTTTTGCATTCCAATAACCAGTTAATTATCAATGCATCTTGATTGCCCATTTGATCAATTTTGAATTGAAGACATTAGTAGAATAAAAATTTGCTCATCACCTGCTTTCAATGTTGGTGCATGTATTTGAATACTAGTTGTATTGATTGGATTTCCTTGAAGACAGATATATATAATCCTATCACAGACAGCATTATATTTCAAGAATAGATCTTGAAATGTCCTTTTTAAGGATGAAGTCAATGCCTTGACTCTTGATTGTGTCATTCCTGGCAAGGTAAACCATATGATTTTCTGATTGACAATGACCAGTAGCAGTCAATTAGTGATCCTAGGCTCACCAATGCCTAGGATCTCCCCTAAGCCTATTGCATTTTATAAAATGTAAAAGGATGGTCTCATGTAAAGTAACCTCATCTTTCATTACTTTGGTTTTGTAAAGTATACTATAACATTTAAAATCTTAAATTCTTATTGTATAGATCTTTCCCCCAGAGTGTCAGAAAGAATTGGTAAATTTTAGCTGACCTAGTTTCTTGGTGATAAAACAAGTCAGCAGATATTCAGAACACAAATTCCCACAGATCATTTATGGACACAATACGCGATGAGTGCATTACTAAAATAGGTCTCTTCCTCACAATACAAGGCAAAAATGCAGCTTTCTTTTCTCGACGTAAGATAAGGCCAGGCCAACTGTGGAAACTTCACAAATCCTTGACTGAGGGAAGCAATAGAAAGGTTGAGAAGCCCTCTGTCCCGTGTAAAACATCATTACTGCACTGGGATACACAGGCTCTGCGTAGCCTGCCTTTTCATGATAGCATTCTTACAGGACTGTACTTGACTATCTTGGTGGTGCTTTAGAGATTTCCTTAACCCAATGTATAGATTAGCTTATTTAATGAACCTGTTAAATGGTACTTCCGTGGCCTGGGGGAAATGGTCCCTCCAAAAGATCTTGCTTTTGATCTCAAACAGCAAGTTCTCCCCTGGAAGAACCTCATTTGATGATCAGTCAACTGCCATGTTTTCCCCTCAATAGCTTTGCGTGTTGGAGCTCATGCAAAGTGCCTTCCTGTTTTGGTTCACTGGCTTAAGGTGGTGCTGTGTGAATCCAACTTATAAATAAGTCATGTAGACTTTGTGTTGTGATTGAAATGAGGGGGCATGTTTAGTTGACCCTTTTGATATTCAAGCCCCTAGGGGGTGGATGATATTCATAACCCCTTTCATCCTCCTCCTGCCTCTCCTCTTTGAAGCAAACTGTAATGTGTTGACACTCGTGACCTGTTCTTGGCGAGCAGTCCTTCCACTCTAATGGGTTTGCTTATTCGCAGAGAAAGGCACCTCTCCTGAACTCTGTCTCATTTGATTTCTTTTCCTTTGTAGACATCGCTCCGTTTTCCCCCAGCATATATCCAAATCGTCTCCTCTCTGATGGAGGAGACCTTCCTACCACTAAGGAGTTTTGCTTTATATGTGGTTTATATCGTGTTGTTGTTTGGGGTTTTTTTTTCCTCCCCTCTACCACGTGGGAGTTTAAAACGACTCTGGATAAAGGGTTAGATACCCATTTATCTTAATTTTCTTAACCTTCATATATTATATGCCAAAAAGAGATGTCCACATTTCCCTCTGTGTGTCAATAAGATGTGATGTGATGAAATGCCCTCAGAGGAAAGCCGGTTTCATTACTTTCTCCCTGCCCTAATTTCCTCACCTGTGTGGCACCTGTATGGGATGAGCTGACGGACTGTCCCACGGCAATTACAAGAGTGTGATGCATATAATGTTGTCAAAATGCAGTATGCAGCAATCACTGTTCTCAGCCAACCACACTATTTTCTTTATCATTGATGATGTGATTATACATTTAACTTTACAGTGACAACTAAATTTTTTAAAAAATGAATAAATATACGAGGGGGTAACCCCCCAAAATGGAATTTTTTCTTCAAACTTATGTATTTAATTTTTTAAAAAAAACAACCCTATCACTTTCAAAGTACTCTCCATTACACTTAATACCTTTGTCAAATCTGTGATTCCATTCTTGGAAACATTCTTCAAACTCATCTGTTTCGATGGCTGACAGCACCTCCCTCATTTTTTTCTTCACCTCTTCTACATCATCCAATCGCTGTCCTTTCATGTCCCTCTTCATTTGAGAAAACAAAAAGAAGTCGCATGGAGTGAGGTCAGGTGAGTCAGGCGCGTGGGACAAGAGAGGCAGGTGCTGGTTACTCAAGAAGCCCTCTAGAAAGATGTGTTGCCATACCAGTTTGTTTGCTGCAGGGTTCTCTCTGTTTTTCTTTTGAGCTCAGTTTCTGATGGGATAAAAAATGTCTTTGCCTGGTTCATGATTCTACATGATATTTTCCTCTCTTCCAACTAGTGTGCTAATAGTAAAGGGAAGATTTTCAACCCCAGGAAAGGTAAATGTATTTTCTTCAGAAAAGAAATGTGCTTGTGGATAAAGGTCAGCAGGCTAGAGTCAGAGCGAAGTTCCCTGTCCATCCCTACCTCACACAGGAGTTCATGCTTGAGGTAGATTCTAATGTCCCAAAAAACTAAACTATGCTAGCATCCTCTTTCTTAAAGAGGAATCTGTCAAGCATTGAGATGTGTTTGAGTGTTAGAATGAAATCAAAACCATTATTGAAATGTTCTACCACAATTTCTACCAAAAATCATAATGATTTTACACAGTTGCAAGAAGCAATGGCCTCATACCAACCCCCAGCATCCTTTGTGTTTTCTAAAGGTTATTTGATTACCATGGGCGCGTGCCGCCACCTCCCCGTGCTGTCATCCCGCTGAAACGCCCGAGGGTGACGGTGACCACAACTCGCAGAGGGAAAGGAGTCTTTTCCATGAAAGGAGGATCAAGATCAACTGTCAGTGGGTCCTCTTCGTCGGGCTCTAAATGTAAGTGCTGTTCTTTATTCTATTTCCCTTTAAAGAACCGTTGGGACAAATGTCACTTCAGGAAGACCTACAGTCCCTAAACAAGCCAAATCATTATGGAACACCTACTATGTACAAAAAGAGCCCTGGCCTAGTCATTACATGTTGGGCTGCTAACAACAAGATCAATAATGCAAACCCGCCAGGTGCTCTGTGGGAGAAAGATGAAGCTTTCTATTGGAAAGCCATAAAGGGTTACAGTCTAAGGGCGGCAGAGAGCAGCGATGATTGACTAACCCCACCCAATGGGATGGAACCACAGAATTGTATGTGAACGGAGGTATTGGAATGAGTGAGGTATGTCAATAAAACTATTTTTTTAATACAAAAGGGAAAAGAGTTACGGTGTAGGAGAGCCACAGGGGCAGTCCTTCCTGTCCTGTAGGGTCCCTGTGAGTCAGAGTCCGGTCGAGGGCAGTGCGTGCGTTTGCTTTTGTTGGCGTAACCGTGTACACATCATCAGAGAAATAGGAATGGACAAGAAACAGTCACTGCTGCCCCAGAGGGAAGGCACACCATGGAAAGTAGAGCAGAGATTTATTTAGAGTCCAGGGAAAGCATTCGAACTCACGGACTGAAGATAACCACACCCCCGGAAAAGAAAGAATGCACCAGCTGGAGCAAGAGCTGGAGTTAAAAATAATCATGACTGACTAAGAACTAATCCAGGAAGGGGGAGGTGGCATGTTTGAGAGAGTGGATAGCATCGAAGTGGGGTTCTTCGACTGGTTCCATGATTGTGAGTGTTCTTCAGTTAACGACAAGATGGTCACAAGACCGTGGCAAGCCAGGCTTTCTCGGGACCCTGTTATACAGCTGGTTTCCTCAAGCATGCTTTTCCCTAGAGGGATCATTGTATAGACGATTTCCCCATAATGCTATGTGTCAAAACCCTCAAGCAAAGGATGCTGCATCCTGCACCTGTTGACCATAGGGGAAAGACCTTCTGGGAAGAGCTCGTGGCATCCCTCATCTGCCAGACCATAAGGAAAAGAAGAAAAATATGTCTTTTTCGGTGATCCCAAAGTGAGTGAAAGCAATGAGAGAAAAGGACATTTAAAAGTTCAATGTAGATTCCAGACGCATGGTGAGAGCTAAGCCTCCTTTCCAGCTTTCTCTGTTTACAGACACCAACGGCCTCTGGTCTTGGGCTCTTGTGCTCCCTTGAGCTGTCTTCTTTTTTAAAATCATTTTATTGGGGGCTCATACAACTCCTATCATCATCCATCCATCCATTGTGTCATGCACTTTTGTACATTTGTTGCCTCATCTTTCTCAAAACATTTGCTTTCTACTTGACACAAGATACTGAAGTACATCAAACAGACACAAACACAACTAATAAGAACCCAGGACACATTTGAAAGCATTTTATCAAAACCACTAGCATTGTGCTCCGGGCCCACTTGTCTTGTCTTACTTTAAAATCCTGGCTTTTTTAAAAAAATAATTTTATTAGGGGCTTTTACAGCTCTTATCACAATCCATACATCCATCCCTTGTGTCAAGCACATTTGTGCATATGTTGCCGCTATTATTTTCATAACATTGTATTTCTACTTGAGCCCTTGGTATCAGCTCCTCATTTTCCCTTCCCTTCATCATGAACCCTTGATAATTTATAAGTTATTTTTATTTTGTCATGTCTTACACTGGCCACTGTCTCCCTTCACCCACTTTTCTATTGTCCGTCCCCCTAGGAGGGGCATATATATAGATCATTGTGAGCTGTTTCCCCTTTCTCCCCCACCTTCCCCTTCCCTCCTTTTATCTCTATTCTCATTATTGGTCCTGAGGGGTTTATCTGTCCTGGGTTCCCTGTGTGGTGAGCTCTTATCTGTAACAGTGTGCATGGTCTAGCCAGGTCTGTAAGGTAGAATTGATATCCTGATAGTGGGGGGAGGGAAGCTTTAAAGAACTAAAGGAAAGCTGTATGTTTCTTTGGTGCTATACTGCATCCTGACTGTCTCATCTTGGAAAAAACATTCATTTTAACAGAGCGTGTGCTACTTTCTTGTAAGAACAATATTATGCAATTGTACAAATGTTTGAAGAGGGGATATTTAAATGATGAAAATAATTAAGACAGGCAAACTGTATGATCACACTAACTCCCATCAAATCAGTCCCGACTCTTAATGACACCAGAGGCCAAGGATAAACTGCCCTTATGGGTGCCCGAGACTGTACATCCCTTTGGGACTAGAAAGCCTCATCTCTCTCTCTCTCAAGAACTATATGAGATGTTAAAAGTGTCATTCTGAGTCATTATGAAAGTCTTGTGTCAGGCAATGTCTATAACTTCACAAAGAAAAGAAAACTTCCATCATTTCACATTGATGAATAAAAGTGTGAAGATACAAACTTTCCAACTCAACAATTGGCTAGATTTTTATATACACTGGTTCAGAAGAACTCTAATTTGCTACAAGATTGTTATTCTAGAAAGGATAGAAAAATGTCTTGCAATGCTTAAATTATATTCTAGTGGTGAGGAAATAGTAAGCAAACAAATTAAATCAGGAGATGCCAAGCAGTGAATCATTGCGTTGTAAAAGAACGAGCACCGTGGCCACTCAGTGGGTTCTGAGTCACGGTGAGCCTGTGGGCCAGCCAAACAGTCCCTTATAGTCTCAAAGGTGGTAGATCTTTCCAGAAGAACATGCCATGTCCTTCTTCCATGGAGTGGCTACTGGCTTTCGTTGCCTACCTTTAGGTTAGCAACCAAGTGTTTTAACAAGTGAGCGGCCCCTGCTCCTCATGCAGTAGGCAGAATAAAGAGCTAGAGGATGATGCGGCGCTCTGTCCCCCACAGGATGCCCTAGGACTGTCTCCCTGAGGAGGCAACAGGTAAGCAGAGACCTAGAGTACACAGGTCAGCCAACTTGGGCTCAGGAGTAACGGGTGGCTCTTTTGATGAGTACATGGGACTCTGAGGTAAAATGGAAAATGAAAATAAAATGACCATAGTTTCCTTTATGAAAGTTTTTTAGAGATATTATTGGGATAGTAGTGATTTCGTTTGTAAAAATATGTTTCTGGCTCTTGACTAATTTTTAAATTGTGAGGGACAGGAGTGTCTATTCCATCTCCAATGTTGGCCACCTGTAATGACTGAAAGGGAAGAAGGGAGCCAGGGAATGGGAGAGGAAGCCTCACGGCTACCTAAGGAAGGGGACTGCTGGTGGAGGGACAGTCAGTCCTCAGTGCCGCGGAGTCGCTGCTGACTCCTAGTGACCCCCGTGTTCCCGAGACTAACTGCCTACCGGAGGAGAAAGCACCGTCCGTCTCCCTCAGAGATGCTGGTGGTCTGGAAATGCCGGCCATGTGAATCACAACAAAAGCGTATTGGCTACCCCACCTGGCCAGCTGGGCTCTGAGTCGCTGTAGTCTAGGAACAAGGAAATAGAGTGGCTGGGACCACATAGGGTGTGGAAATGTGTCCGGAGATATTGTGAGGTTGTTCTCCGCAAACACTAATTTTTTCGTAGCAGTTTCACTACTAACAAGTTTGAGGTGGTGGCTGCTTCTTCACTCAGAAAGCACTTGTGTTTGTTTGTTTGTTTGTTTGTTTGTAAACATTTAAATTTTTATTGTAATTACGTCTTAAGCAAGTTTTTCTTTCAAAGTTTTTAGAAAAGAACACTGATGTAGTGCATTTTAATGTCCACTGGTTTCAAACTTTTTTTTTTCCAATGGTGCTGGCAGGTCTGTAATAAGATCTCTCTCGATTTCAAAGGCTGCAGCTTTCTTTTGAATCTGTTCTCTAGTTCAAGGTTTGTATAGCAGACATTCTGCTGTTCTTGCGATTTCCAAAGCCATTTCAGAAAAGTCTTATCTCTCCCTTTCTTATGTTGAGGCTTCAAAGGAAGAATTCACAGTTACTGTACCAAATGAGTTGGACGTCCTGTTAGATAATGGGCACACATCACATGGAGCCCAGTCAATATCTGAGTTAACTCTAACACTTCCCCTTCCTATAGAATACTGCCAATGCATCAGCATCTGTGGGAAGCCCAGTACCCGGCTTGGCTCCTAGCATAGCAGTGTGCCTGTGCAAGGCACCCCACAACCGTATCCCTTGTCTGCAAGCACTTCATCATCAGTGCCGTTGCATGAGTTTGGATGGCATAGAGCATACATGCTGAAATGTGCCGTCCGGTAGGGTACTTTTCTAGAAGTAGCTGGCCTTTGGGATCCATCCACCAGTAGATGGTGCGCCAGTTCCTTAAGACATCCTCACCCTTTTCCTTTCGGTCTCCTTCTCATTTTAATTGTGGACACCCCCACCCCCACCCCCAGGGTTTAGCAATACTAGATCTGTGGGCAAATCTCTTTGACCCGAATCTTGCTTCCTCACCACCTTTAGTGGTGAGATCTGACAGTGAGCTCAGTCCTCTGAGACGCAGCCTGGACCAGACACATGGGACCTAGCCATTCCCACCCCTTCATGGGACCTAGCCATTCCCACCCTTTCCCCTCTTTAAGCCACACATCCATCAGCCTCACCCAGGATTGGAAGCACTGCCCCGAAATCACATTTTTTTTACTTCTGGAACTCACATTTGTCATTGCTTCTATTTAAGAGTTGTCACGGCATCTTTATTAACATTTTCTGAAACACTGGTTTTGCATTGACAGCAGCCACACGTTCTACTTGTTTGCCTTCATCTGCCTCCTACGAAAAACCTGTGCTCTGGTTTCCTTTCAACAACTGTGTCCATTAAGCTGTTGCTTGGGATTTATTTTTAAATTGGCTGGGAGCTATCTTAGACCTCCCTTTTGGCATGTAAGAAAGCTTCTTGAGTCGGCAAAATCTACATTGAAGAAACCCACCAGCCTGTATGATCCAAGGACTATAAATAATAAAATCCACATCTGATGGAGGGAACAGTGATCACTCACTGCCATCGAGTTTACCGCTTCCCTCTGTCCCGAAAATACTTCAAGGGCCAATAGCA